CGTGCGCAGAAGAGCCGTTTCCTTTGCTGTTACTGCACCGGGGCGCAGTGAGTCAGCGCCCTAGCGAGCTGGGAGGCCCTTAAAATGACGGATGCCAACGGCTGCCGAGTCTGTACAAGGAGAACGGGGAGTGGGTGGAAGAAACACCGCCGGCTCGAGTGCAAAGCCCTTATCTCGGAGGAAGCATCACGCCGCAGGCTGCAGAGCAAGGGCTCGTCGCGATGGAGGGTGCCGCGTGGAGTGGCGGCCCCCGGGCCCATCAGCGCTAGTCGAGCCGGGAGCCTAGAGCAGGGACACGTCCCACAACGGGAACCAGGAGCTATGTGATGGGAAGTGGGGGCCAGAGAGGTGGCACTTGCAGGGGGCAAGATGCCAGGGAAAGGTCCAGGCCCCGGCCTGCCAGTCATTGCCCTGGGTGCCCGGCTGCAAAGCGGCACCGGGATTGCAGAGCCCGGTGCAATAGTTGTGGGTGCAATTATCTGTGCAAGGCTGCCAGAAGGAAGCTACACCTGGCGTGTCTGCCGGATGAGGGAAGAGAGCCGGGGCCACTGAGGACCAGCTCCCGTGGGCTGGGACAGAGGTCCCCGAGGCCCAGTTTGCCCAGTGCCCGGTCTTCAAGGAGGCCTGGTGTCAACAGGGGGCATCCCTGCAGAGGGGCAAACAGCCTCAACGCCCCCAGCACACGCGCAGGCTCCCAGCCCCATCCTGCAGAGCAGCTCTGCTTTCGTTTCTGCTGCTCCATCCCAAGGCTTCCTCGCAGCCCTGGGCTCTCTTCCGCTCCTGCTCTGTGGCAAGAGCAGGATGGAGAACTGAAATTTCAAAATGAAGATGTGAGCCGGCTCGGTGCAGCTCCCTCCCCGCCCCCAGCTGGACTTCACCTGGATGCGCGACTACCCACCCCGGCCTCGTGGAAGAGACGTGGCTGCAAACACACACGGGCTTTGAGAGAGAGTGGAGTTTAATGGCATTCATTTCAGGAAAGGAGCAGAAACAGTCCCGTCTCCTCTGTCCACTAGTATAAATTAAAGCAGTGCCCAGACTCAGAGCCAGATCGCCAGCTGGTGGAAACGCGTGCAATGGGCCGTGCTAATGGGAACCGGCGGGGGGTCTGCTCTTTGCAAAGATGCACCCGCAGGGCAAGAGGCTCTGGATCCCCCCAGCCCGGCGTTAGGGAAAGGCCAGAGGGCGATCCACTGTCCTCAAACGCCTTTGGTCCCTAGCACATGCTTATTGCTGAAGGCTTCGACCTTGCAGGCTGCCAAGCAGAGCACGCTCGGCTCTTCGCCAAACTGGGTCCTATCCTGGCTAGAGACGGTGCCCTCCGTACTCACAAACGCACAGGGCAGCCCTACGACATCTAGGCTGGCGAGTGGGCGGCCAGCCAGGGCACTGCTTCAAGGAAAGCATTGCCAGGGCCTCCAGGCAAGTCCCGGCGATGAGCATCCGGGACTGCGAGCCGGCGGCTACGTCCCTAATGGTCCGGCAAGAAGCTGCTCAGCGTCAGGTTGTCTCCTTCCGTGTCTGAGCCGGTGTCTGGGAACCTCCTCATCCTCCGCACGGAGACGGGTCTCCCTCCGTTGGCCCCCGGCTCGCCGTCGGGCAGCAGGGACGAGATGCACACCATCTCGGTGTTGCTGCGCCGCAGCCTCTGGTAGGCGTGCTTCTGGCGCCACAGCATGGTGGCCAGGACGGTCGCGCAGATGATGAAGGTGGCGGCGACGAAGGCTAGGATGAGGATGCCCAGCAGGCATTTCCCCATCAGATCCTCCGTCGGGCTGCGTGACTTCTCCAAGGCGGTCTGTGTCGTGCCAAACCCCCCTGCCCTGAAGGTGGGGTGGGAAGAGCTGGGCTTCCCCTCCGTCGAGAGGCGCAGAGGCTCGGTAGTGTCCGCGTCGTCCACGGGAGCCTCCGTGGAGACGTTTGCCCAAGAGCTGGGCGGCAAAGTGGAGGTCTCCTTCTTGCTCTTCTTTTCCCCCAGCGCGGCAGCAGAGCCGTTCGCCTGGCTCGCCGTGCCGGTGGAAAGGGTGGCCTCCGTCACGAGGTCCGACGGCTCAGTAGTGTCCACGTCATCCACAGGAGTCTCCATGGAGATGGTCGAGGTGCTTGTCCGCGGGGTAGGTGGCAAAGCAGATGCGGTTTCCTTCTGCCCCTTGCTTTCCCCCAGCACGGCCGCAGAGCCGTTCGCCTGGCTCGCCGTGCTGGCGGAAAGCGTGGTCTCTGCTTCCTCGGGGCCGTGGGTGGAGGTCCGGAGCGCGGGGGCCACCGTCGAGGTCACAGGGGGCCCGGTGCGTACCACGTCGGTGCCTCCTATGGAGACCTTTTGGGGCCCAGTAACAGAGGACGCCTTGGTGGCGCTGTCACAGTGGGGACACTTTAGTAGCTCGGGAGCCGGGCCGTCTGCTTCAGTAGAGGGGCTCCCCGCTGTAGTAGAAAAAGCCATTTTGAGGGGCGTGGTGGAGGCGGTGGCCTTGGCGATCGGACCGGACAGCTTCCCGCTGGCTTCTCTTTTCCTGCGGAGCAACGACGGGAGGTGGCCGTCCCGCTCCCCTGCCGCTCTCCAAACCCATTGGGCCTGCCTGGCCGGCGGGGAGCGCCCCCCTGCAGGAAACCGGTCCTCGCGGTCGTTGCTCAGACGATCTGCCAGCCGATAATCACCTGCCTCCAGGCTGGAAAGCCCCAGCAGGACAGAGATGCCCATTAGAGCCATGTACCCTAGAAGGAGAAAACAGAGAGACCAGACTGACGTCCCTGTAGCC